ACCTATATATAAATATAATGAATATCCTAGTAGGTTGGTAATTAAAACCGCTAATAAAGTTCACTCAAAAATGTTGTTTAATCGATGTCTTCTTAAAAGGATGACTCGACCTCTTGGTTGTATTACTATACAATTGTTTTTGGTCAAAATGTATTTACGTTTAAAAAATAGTAATATGTTATATATACTTACTTGTATTTCTACACTTAAACTATTTTTTCGAGTTTTAGTTAAGACAGGCCGCAAATTTTCTATAATATCAAAAATCACATTCTTAGGTAAGCGATATAATTTTTTGAAATTAAAATCGCTCAAATCAAATGGATTATAACTGTCACGCAAAATTCTTTTGTGCAAAGTAAATCGTTGATGAGCCATTTGATTTACATATTCCTCAGCAATTAAAATGTGACCTAATAATGCCATAACCAATTTAAACGCAAAACGGAAAAAAATTAATAAACTAAAGCTTAACAAACGAAGAAAAGTGTTAACTGTATCAAATATGCAATGACAATCAAAACGAGAAAATAATTAATAAATAAACATATGATTTACAATTTTAGTCGACTAAATCACAATTGGCGCCCTCCAATAGGGGCCAAATGATTAGTGACTTTTAGTCACCACTTTCAGTCGGGCTAAAATATCATTTTTAGTCATAGATTCATAGAGAATCGCTAATTGTTCGTCATGACTAAATGTTTGACTGAATGATGAGTTTTAGTCACGGTAGTGACTAAATCGTATGACTAAAACTTTAGAGAATCGCCCTACTGGTAAAAATACTTGCAATTTTTTATCTAATATAACAACTATTGTCTTACCATAAATTGTATCAATATATTTGAAACGAGTAACCTCATATTTTTTTCCTTTTTCTAAGTCACATACTTTTACAAAATCATATTGATCGTTGCAATTATTTAAAAGTGTTTTCAAATTTTCCATTTCTATTATTTATTATAATAGAGATGTATTTTTTTTTTAATCGCATATTTATATTATATTTATTTCTAAATAACATAACAATGTTAATCTTTACGAACAGACAGACAGACAGACAGACAAACAGACAGACAAACAGACAGACAAACAGACGGACAGACAGACAGACATAATAACATTGAACGTCCGTCTGTCTGTCTGTCTCATGAATCGTGTGAGTCCGGTTTTTTTAATAATCATACACTTTGATGTATGTTTTAATAATTCGATGTTAAAAAAAAATATTTACTAATATAAATAATAGAAATGGAAAATATCAAAACACTTTTAAATATGATTGAACAACAACGTAAAATCCTAAGACCTATATTTAATGATATTGATATTGATATTGATATTGACTGTGAAATTAGTAATAAGTTATGGAATCATATAATGGGTAATTGCTGTTTTGAAAATCTTATAAAATATGATTATTACAAAAAACATAATCAATTAAAATCATTTAACTTCCGTTTCATTAGTAATTGTTGTTTCGAAAATATTTTAAGTTTTATTAAAAACAAAAATTATAATGAAATTAAACTTTCATTAAACGAACTACGTAAATTAATACAAGAGGAATTACACGATTTGAATAATAATAATAATAATTATATGGAGCTAGACTGATTATTTTTTAAAGTTTGAAAATTTAAATCGAATATAATACTTACGAAGTATTATATATTTATATATTATAGTACCTACCTATACAGTGTGGTATAATAATAATAATAATAATAATAATAATAATATATATATCAACGTTGGACTGATTATTTTTTAACATCCGGTATTGAATACCTTATCATAATATATATGTATAGTTTATATTATGATGTTTTTTATCGAATTATTTAAATAGTGTTTAAATAATCATTATACATGCCCAAGTGTTGTAGCTCAGTCGGTAACGCGTTTGATTTAAAATGTGTTCTTGGTCGGATTGAAACTAGTGGGGGAATGTGTAGCGCTGCATATTCACCTACTAATTTCGTCAGGCTTTGAAGATGTTTACGGTAGATTGTATAGGTGGGTGCACACACCTATGCAATCTACTGAAAAACTGTTGTTGTCCTGCTGGATAAAGCGCTTGGGTAACTTCACTGCCCACGATAGCTTTGCAGATATCTGTAAAAGAGTTCCGGCCTCCTTTTTTCCTAACGGGTATCTGCAAAGCTGGGAATGATTTTGTAGATTTTTTGCATTTTTTTCCATATTTCTATTAAAAATATTAAAAAATAACGCGATCGTATATGTCCTATATTTTATTTAATATTTGATATTATCAAGTCGGATCAACACAGATATGTTTTATATACTTATCTACACTACATATTAAAAGTTTACCCCCCGCTTCATATTTTTCATTTAAGTATAACTCCGTTGCTTTTTATGTTAGAATCTTCATTTTTACACTTAACATTTTTGATTTTAATTCTTTATAAGTCCCCCTAATAGTATCATAGTGTAAAATCGTTTTTAAAGATTTTTGGATTTTAATAACGCGACATCATACGAAGACAACATATTTTAATATTTCCTAAATCTTGAACAACAAAAATATCATGGAGATATTCGGCAATAATACCAGTTGTATTTATTAAATCATTAGCTATTTTACAAATTTCAAGCCATGTTGGCGATTCTAGTACTTTAGAAGCATAAGGTTTTCCTAGTTTTCGTTTTCCATTTATAGAAATATTGTTTTCAACAATTAAAATATTTCCTTCAATTGGAATTTTATGTAGATTATAATATTTAATATTCTCAGAATTTTCATAGTATTCAAAAGCACAAAATTTCACATAAAATTTTTTTTTTTTATACTTTTTTTTATTTCATTTTGCATTTCTTTTTCTTGTACCTTATTAAAATTATTTATAGATTCCATTCTTTTATTATAAATATCAATTCCTTTAACTAAGGTATTCAATTTCTTTAAAAAGTATTTTTTAATACACTATATTACATTTCGATTTTAATTATTAATATCATAAGTATTTAGAAAAATATTTTGGGTGTATTTAATAAGTTTTGCGAAAAATTTTTTTATTATTATTGCATTTCGATTTTTTATTTTTAATAATTAAGTTTTGCGGAAAATATTTTTATTATTATTGCATTTCATAAGTTTTGCGAAAAATTTTTTAATTATTATTGCATTTCATAAGTTTTGCGAAAAAATTTTTTAATTATTATTGCATTTCAATTTTCTGATCTTTTTGCACATTGTTTTCTTTGTGATCTTTTACTGATATATTATTATTAAAGGTGCTGCGCCAGGACTGGTATATATATACTACTCAGCTCGTTACTGGTATAATCATAAATGTTTTCAATGCTTTAATAACATTACAAAATATAGTTTCCCTTCCACAGTTGGATTGTGTAAGCCAATTTATCCAATCACCACATTTATTCTTCTCGCCTTTCGGTATATTATCTGTATGTTTAAGAAGATTAATTTCTGTTTTCAACATATCAGAATTTAAATCAAATGCTGTGGACAAGACTGAAATGTCGTTGCTATTTATATTTAAAACTAATAAATTTCCAATGCTTTGAATCATATTCATTGTTTCTTGGTTAAATCTAATATTAATTCCACTAATCATATGGTCCAATGTTGAATAGTATACAGAAACCTTCATTTCTTCTTCTTTTGAAGACATATAGTGCTGTGTACTACTCAAGCAGTCAATTTTGGTTGACACTTTTCTTTTTTTCAGTTGTGGAATTTCAATATCATAATTTTTACACATTTGAATGGTTTTATGATAAATATCTGTGAAATCGTTTTCAGTATTTCTCATAGAAACAAGTAATTTTTTTAATGACTCAACGATTTCTACAGCAGTTAATAAGTTTATGTTGGGTGACTGTAAAAAAGCACCTGTTTTTAATATTGAAGAAAGAATAGGATCTAACATCAACATGGCAAAGATAAATTCAAACGTTTTCTTCTGATGGAGAATTCCCTTGCCTTTTGCTCGAACATCTGATTGTTTTGTATTATCAATAATTTCTTCAATTGCTGCTAATATTGACGAATAATTTTCTTTTACTGCACTAATAGCTTCTGAGCGGCAAGCCCACCTTGTGGTAGAAATTGATTTTAAAGTTTTTAACTTTGTACTTTCTAGTATTGTATAGATTATATATTAAAGAAAATGCCAGAGGCCGCAGGGGTGGCCACGGCCTACCCGGCCCCCCCCCCCCCGTGCGCACGCCTATGGGTAAACACGTACTAAATCGAACTTCGTGAAAATAGTTTTTCCTGCGAGATTTGCCGTGAAATCGTGTAGGTGCGGCAATGGGTACCGGTCGGCCACCGTGACAGCGTTGAGCCGGCGGTAGTCACCGCATGGTCGAAACGTACCGTCTTTTTTCGGGACCAGTAAAAGCGGGCTGGCCCATGCACTCGATGATGGCCTGCAGATACCTTTCTATCGCATAAAATCGAACTCTTTGCGTGCGATTCGTAGACGGTCGGGCGGAAGTCAGCGTGGACGGGCTAAAATCGCTGGGCTGGTGGTATGGAGCTCGTGTACCAGGTCGTGCAAAAATTTTTCCGGTACAGGTGACTCGCGCGTAACCTCGGAGTACTCGAGCAGGAGTGTGTTCCATTTCGACCACGGTTATCTACACAGGTTGTAACTCGCGCTATACTGTACTGAAGAACAGTGGTGGTGGCCGCGTGAACTACAGAGCTAGTTGTGTCTGGCCCTACTTTCGTATGTAGAACGTACGTCGTTTTGTAATTTTTTGTTAATTGATATTGTTAATATAATTGATTTTACGAACAAAGTGCTGATAACTTAAATTCACGATTTAAATCCGGGTTTACACGTAACAATAAATCGTTACGACGTGATTGACAATTTATCGTCGTTTTTATTGTACCAATTAATCGAAATAGTGAATATTGTTTACACGCTACGATTTCTTGTCCAATATTCTTTGTCGACCACGGTTCATCACAACTCAGTTGGCCATTAACTTTCGCCATGGAGGAAGTACTGTTGTGGTCGTTATACCTAGTTTGTTTAGCGAAAAAAACAAAACAGTCGCGAAGACCAAGAAGAAAGTGGAGTCGCAAATGGTTGCTGAAGAAAAGGGAATTTTCGCATATAAACTTATTGCGAGAATTACGAAATGAACCCAATGACTGGCGAAATTATTTGAGAATGGATGAAGAGACTTATGTTGAGTTGTTAAAGTTAGTTTCTCCGTTTATCGTGAAAAAAGACACTGTTATGAGAAAAGCCATATCCACACGAGAGGCTCTCAGCTACCTTACGATTCCTTGCTACCGGAAGAAGCTTTAAGGACATGGAATTTTCAACTGCCATTTCTAAACCAGCTCTCTGCAAAATAATTCCGGAAACCTGTGAGGCTATCTACAAAGTATTAAAAAAATACATACAGCTATGTTCACTAAATTTTTATTTATTTACTTTTAAACCATAGACAATACAAACATTATAATTTATAATCAAATGTAATAGGTACAATATAAAGTGCATAATTATAGAATATGTTTTACACGTGAAAATGCCCTTTTACTAAATGAATTTTGAAAAGAAACTAGAAACATTGTTTTCCATTGATTGGTTGAGATCTGTGTTAATCGTTTTACTTGAACTTGGCATATAGTTTGAGTAAATGAGTGGCTGAATTTCGGGCTGTTGAGATTCTGGTTGCTGAATATTTGGTTGTATAGAATTGGCTTGTTCTGGTTCGTTCGTATGAGAGATTGGCGGTGTCGTATTGGAGAGATGTTGAGAGATTGGCGGTGTCGTATTAGAGAGATGTTGAGAGTTTGGCATTGTCATGTTGGATAGATGTTGAGAGTTTGGCATTGTCATGTTAGATAGATGTTGAGAGTTTAGCATTGTCATGTTGGATAGATGTTGAGAGTTTGGCAGTTGATGCTCAAATATTCGAGGTATATAATATGTAGGATGGCAAAGTTGAGGATTAAATTGTAGCAAGTCTAGTTTCGAATGTATGGTGTGGTTGACTGTTCATTACTTTAAAATCTTTAGTGAGTGCCTCAAGCTCCCCCTCAAAAATCACGTCATTTATGAGTTTTCGAGAGTATACGGCCTGGTTTCCTTTGAGGGAACGTAGCTTGTGGGCCATATACTTTCCGTAGGCTTCAAATTCATCATCGGGACGAATAGCTTTTAGTTGTTGTCCCGCTAGCTGCATCACCTCATCTGTCGGAGTTAGTTTCTTTCCGCTTTGGCTGCGGTCCGATAGGTGATGGTGTCACACTTCGTGATGTAGTTGATCTATCATCACCTAATGTTGGCACAACTGATGTGGTGACATCTCGTTTGTAGGAATGGTCTAAATCCGTAGATTCAGAATCTTCTGAAATATAATACAGCATATATTTTTAGTTGCCTTAAAAAGTATAAGAATGTACTAAGGTAGACACGACTATTTTTGTTATTTTGTAGAAAATTAAACTTCAAAATTTTAATTTTAAGTAATTAAAAAAATTATGCATAGTATTTTTGATATTTTTCAACTGCTATTGAAACAATATATCAAAAGCCTTGTATTAACTTTTCAAGTTTTTTGAACGAATCAAATTTTATTGACATTCATAGAAGAAAAAAACTAAAACTATTTAAAACTGAAAATGTCCATTAACAGCTTAAGACAAGTCAAAATATTTTAAAAATTGTATGGTGTATAGAAAATGCTTATATGTATAAACATTCCGTAAACTACTGGAAGTTTTTATTTTTGACCCCCCCCCCCCCCCAAAAAAAAGTACCAATTAATACTAGATTCACTTTCCTATCAGAAAAGATACTGTTGAAAACACATACACACACATCGCTCTGATCAGAATCTAAAGAAACTTTTCTTATTCCAGTGTCCTAAGGCAGCAAATGAGTGGATGGAAATCGCTTCAGATTTTGAAGAGAAGTGGCAATTTCCTCATTGTTTGGGTGCGATCGATGGCAAACATGTCCAGATCGTTCCACCAAAGGATAGTGGTTCCCAATACTACAACTACAAAAAGACACATAGTATAGTCTTAATGGCTATTGCAAACGCTCACTGCCAATTTATATATTGTGACGTAGGAACGAACGGTAGAATATCTGACGGAGGTGTGATAAATAACACTATTTTCTACGAACGACTTGTAAATAACCAATTGGATATTCCTACACCTGAACCAGTAAGCTTCGATCTTGACCTGGAATATGTTTTTGTGGGGGATGATGCTTTTGCGATGCGACTTGATCTTATTAAGCCTTACAGTCGAGATTCACTTAATAATGAAAGAAGAATATGTAACTATCGAATATCGAGAGTACGGCGAGTGGTTGAGAACAGTTTTGGAATTTTAACATCAAGATTTCGTATTTTTAACACTGAAATTAATTTACAAGTGGAAACTATTGAATCAGTAGTTCTCGCATGCTGTGCCTTGCACAATTTATTACTCAAAAAATCAGTTTCCTACACCTCTCTTGAATGTTTTGATTACGAAAATACTATGGATGGTACTATTCAATTAGGTGAAAGGTGTAATCCCGATATATTACACAACCTCAAACGACGTTCAGAAGATCAAGTTTTACAAAGAGCAAAAATTATCCGAGAAAAATTCTGTACATATTTCAACGGTGAGGGGTCTGTTCCTTGGCAAGAAAAAAGTGCATTGAACGTTTGAAATTTATAGTTCTTGAAAAAAGCTTATCATATTATGTTAATTATATTAGTATGCTTATTATATTGCTTGTAAGAATTTAGTTTTATTTAGTTTTATAGCGATTTTTTCACTTTACTAGATTACAGACAATTCATTTGAACACTATTTATCATTAATTCATTAGTACATAGTAAAGTATAATATTATACTATATAACATTTAGATAAAATTATTAATAATTATTGTTCATTATTATTATTAATTATTATTTAATTATTATTATAAATTATTATTATTATTATTATTAATTATTATTTATTATTAATTATTAAGAGGACGCTACACCCGGATGCGTTGTCTCCGTCTTACACACGTACGACATAGACAAAACGCGTTTAGGCAGTCTGAGTATAACTCGCTCAATTTTTATTCTAGAGTAAAAATACCTATTATGAAATTGAATTGTGATAATATTTTTAAGGGCAAGACGCTGCCGTTTTTTTAAAAAATTTAATTTTTTAAAAGTCAAAGGTATTTTAAAAATGGTGAAATTTTTTCTATTTCTAAACGATATAATGAACGTTATATTGGGTATAATGGAAAAACCGCAGCGTCTTGCCCTTAGAAATATTATCACAATTCAATTTCATAATAGGCATTTTTACTCTAGAACCAAAATTGAGCGAGTTATACTCAGACTGCCTAAACGCGTTTTGTCTATGTCGTACGTGTGTAAGACGGAGACAACACATGCGGGTGTAGCGTCCTCTTAAGCTAATTTTACTATAAATAAAAAAAATTTGACTTACAATATATTGTTGTGTTTCTTCGTCCTCGTCATCCATTGTGTTTCCTAGTAGGTCTTACAGAGTCCTAGTCGTTCAAAAAATGCAGTAGGTCGAAATACCACAAACTAGGTTTATAGATTTCATCCGCTCCAGCCCCAGATTTTAACGAATTATTAACTTTTGATAGTTCTTTCATATAAACCGTACGCAATGCATTAATTTTTTTCACAACAGTGTTTCTGTCTGCCGAAGGATCAAACTCTTTGTAGGTACTTTTTAACCATCTCTTCATAAGGAAGGCTTTTTTTTTATTTCTATCCGAGTATTCTTTGCTTTTAACAAACCACAAGCAGGGAAAACTTTGATATAACTCAATAATATCTCTCAAGAAGTCTCGAGGTGTTTGCTTGTCACGAGGTGTTTGTTCTGCCATGATAATTTGAGTAAAAATTTAAAAAAATTGTCAACGAAAAAACGAACTATCCTCCGTGAACGGCCAATGCAAACTAAATCAAATTGTTCCTACATGTTTACATGTTCCAACTTGTCGTTACGATTTGCAGAAATTTATGCCGCTCGGCATCAATCATCCGATCTAATTCCAATAAATCGTTACAATGTTTTATTTATACATAATGATAAATCGAAACAATTCGATCGTTACGATAAATTTCTGGAATTTATTGTTACGTGTAAACCCGGCTTAAGATAGTATGGTTCCCAACAAGGTATGATAAGACGGCATTGGATTTAAATCGGACCCCCGTTGCTAGCGCTTCTAGTGGACTATTTTATAATTGATAATATAATATGATCATTATATATATTTTTATTGTACTTAGGTATAACCATAGAGTATATAGAGGAGCCCTAATTGAAATAATATGAAGCGGAAATGGAAACAAAACAGTGTAGGCAAACTATAGAAAATATTTTATTGTATATGAACTATAATACAATATTTATTGTAATTTAATTATATTATTCATTATTATTACTCAATTATATCATATTGTTCTATGGTTATATTAACCTTTATTTATAACTATCAATATAATATTAATTATTATAATATTACTGAACTGAACTTGATTTGCACAAATACGTAAATACTATTATAATATGTTATGGGAGGGTAGTAACTTTTTGGTGAGGAAATTATCAGTACTATCAATACTTAAATTATTGTAACACACCAGCATCTTAGGTTTGTTCTTAAAATAGTTTCTGAGTAGAAAGTATTATAACATATTCAAAATATTACATTGGTGGGATTTACGAAAAGTTGAAAATTAGCGCTATCTATCAGTTGCGTTGTTAGTTATTGGAAACCAAATCCGACATGTTTTGCTTCACAAATTCATAATACTTATTCTGATAGGGCATCTCTATATACTCTATGGGTATAACAT